TCTATCACTTTATAAGGAGTTTTGAAATGAGCAAATTCTTCATGCCTAAACAATTTGAGAAGGCGGTACTTTGAATTCTTATGATCTCATTATTTTATTGTGGAGCAATTCAAATGAAGCTCGTTCTCTTTTAAACTTAGCATCAACTTTTGGAATGGAAAAATTTGGATAAAGCAAAATTCGACTAAGAAAAAGTTTATTTAAATTGAAACTTTTGTGTTTCTCAAATGTCAAAAGAGTTAGACAATGCTAAATTTAGAGTAGATAACATATTTATAAAATAAATATACAACCAAGATTTGACGAGAATTTTATTAAATACTCACATTGTCATAAACCGACGCGATCCCTCACCCTCCATAGGAAAAATTATTCCATACGGACGGATTGCATGCAGTGTCACATCCTGACCATAAATCAGGTGATCTACGGTCAAGATGTATTTCGGTGGGTCCCACCGAATTTTTTTTTAAAAAAAACTGAAATATATTCTGACCGTAGATCACCGTGATCTACGATCAGAATCGGACACCGCATGCAGAAATGCATGCGGTGTCCGTACACAATAATTTCTCCCCTCCATAGGCTGTCATGCGCGAATCTTAAGTGCCACAAGGGGCAACTTTACAGGTCAGCGATGTGAAAATAACAATGAAACGTCACACAATTTACGTAGCATCCTCAGCTTCTTTATCCATCTACGTATTTATTTTTAAAATACTTATTTTTGATGGAGAATTTACATATATATCTCACAATTTCTATGTATTTACATATTGCCGATCTGAGCGTTAGTATATATACATTTAAAGTTATGTTTACTACCTAAGCATGTAAAGTTATGTTTACTTTGGAAAAAAGATGGTTTTAGTGATATTTTTATGTAACATTTAAGTACTTATCTAACATTACATTACTTTCAGATGAGTGGTGTTTCGAGTCGATAGATTATTTACATATATTACATTCATTTAAAAATAAATCTATACATACCGCCTGAAACTAAGTATTTACAAATCAACCACCCACTTTAAACCATATTTCAAATTCTCTCTCAAATATCAAAATTCATAGTAAAACCACGACCCATAATTTTCATTTTTATCAAATTCTCAATAGTTTGATCAATCACCTGGGTGGTTAATTTGCAAATACCAATATTTTCAGTGGTTTGTATATAATTACCCCATTTTAAAACCCCTCTTGATTAAATTTTGATAATAATGACAATAAAACCACATCTGCAAGTGAGATATAAAAGAGTTTAATTGATTGTGACATGGCCAGTAACAAAGAAACGCAACATTTTGTATCTTCTCTTCATGGCAAAAATGAATTACAGAAAAAAAAAAAAAATCTATAGATGAGGATAACCCAACTCTTTGTTCATGATGGTGGAGAAGTAGCCGTTAAAATCAAGATAACTCCAGAAGCGATGAAGGCCGAATTCGCCATGTTTCGGCGATTTAAGATACAAAAGGTACAGTTCTTCGAGGTTCTTCTTAAAAGAAGAATTTACAGAAGATGCCTGCATCATTAACCAGAAGGTAATGTGAAACTATAGATAAGAAGAGAGCGATGTAGCAGGAAGAATGAACAATTGAAAATCATCATAATCCTCAGCTATGTCACAAATATTACAGTAAATAAACTCAACACATCTTCCTTTTATTAAACTCTTAACATCCCTTTCTGTTTATGTAAATCTTCCAAATTCGGACATTTACATACATACCACGCAATTCATATGTATTTACATATCTAACACCTAAACTTTTACTCTTTACATTTACACCCACCAAATGTTTCATATCATTTAAAAAATACCATCATTTTAATTTTTAAAAAGTGAAATACACCTTTTCAAGCGTAGGTGAGGTGGGTATGTATGTAAAAATTGAAGTTTAGGTCTTACATATCTAAATACATAGGAATTGAGTGGTATGTACAAAGATTTTCCTGTCTTCATTTTTTTCATTTTTGTAATTGCAAGTATTATCTGAACATTAACATTGTCATTGTCGGTCCCAAACCCGGATGTGAAAAGTGGAGGGTTGCGTTAGATAATCGACAACCAACGTAAAACTTGTTGAAAAAAATCACGACATTCCTTTTGATCATTGTGTAAGTGCTTGGGCGTTCCCTGGAAGCGACGCGATGTATAGCCTGAATACAATGAAAAGTGTGCAAGGGGCGCTCACCGACGCCCGGGTGTAGTGTCAAATAAACAAGGGTTCCCACATGGCCACATTACGGACGAATGCAGCTAAAGAAGTTAGTCCATGAAACTAATGAAACTAATATTAGGATAAAATCTTGGAATATAGGTACTCTCAATGATAAATTAATGATAAATTATGATATTATGATTCATAGAAAAATTAATATCTTATGTATTCAAAAACTAAATGGGTTGGAGAAAAGGCTAAGGAGATTGACAGTTGGAGAACTAAATGGGTTGGAGAAAAGGCTAAGGAGATTGACAATTTAGTTTTAAACTTTGGTATTCTGGTAAGAGTCACAGTAGAAATGGTGTAGGTATAATTATAAATAAGAGTTTGAAAGATAATGTTATAAAAATTAATAGAGTTGGAGATAGAATTATAGCCCTTAAGATTATCATTAATACTATGATTTCTAATATTATAAGTGCTTATGCTCCTCAAGCAGATTTAGATACAGGGTCTAAAAATAAATTTTAGAATAATAAATTTTAGAATGGGTTCAAAAAAAAATTAATAGAATGACCTACAAATGATACCACTTGAAAGAGGAGTTTTTATTGAAGGAGATTTAAATGGACATATCGGTAGAGTGATAAAAGACTTAAAAAATATTCATGGAGGCTACGGTTTTGGAGTAACTAATGAAGAAGGTAGAACTATTTTAAATTTTGCTTTAGCATATGATTTTGTTATTACTAATACTTTATTCAAGAAAAGAGATGATCATCTTATTAGTTATAAGAGTGGATCTAATAAAACACAAATTGATTATTTTCTTATGAGAAGAAGAGATCGTTGAGATTGTAAAGATTGTAAGGTCATTCCAAGTGAGAATTTAAGTACCCTACATTCTAGATTTTAAGATGAAGATTTAAGATGAAGAGTTGTAAAATAAAGAATACTAGGACTCGTCATCGTAGAATTAGATAAAAGAACTTAAAAGACAAAATAAATTATTTTTATGTGTAAAATTCAAGATTTCAAAATTTGGGATATTCATGAAGAAACAAATGTTATGTGGGATAAGCAACAAATACTATTAAGCAAGTAGCAAAAAATGTGCTTGGAGAATCAAAATAAAAAGTTTTTATAAATAAAAATAGTTGGTTGTGGAATAATAATATGCAAGAAAAGATAAAATATAAGAAACGATGTTATAAAAGTTGGTTTAAATGTAAAAGCGTAGAGAAGTGGGAAAATTTTCAAAAGACATGCATAGAGTCTAAAAGAACAATCTGTGACGCTAAAAATTCTGCTTTTAATGATCTTTATAATAAATTAGATACTAAGAAGGGTGAAAAATATATGTATAAACTAGCCAAACAAAAAGAAAAGAAAAGTAAAGATTTAACTCAAGTAAAGTGTATTAAAGATGAAAATCAAAAAGTACTCTTCTTAGAAAAAGATATTCAAAATAGGAGGGTGAGTTATTTTGATAAACTTTTTAATGAAGTTTATGAAAATACAATAGACCTTAGTGATCTTAATATATTGAATAAAAATAAAACGTTTCATTTTTACCGTCGCATTAGTAAAAAAGAAGTTGAGGAGACTTTAAAGAAAACAAAAGGTGGAAAGTCTGTAGCACCTGATAATATCCCAATTGAAGTGTAGAAATATTTAGGAGATTTGGGAGTTTCTTAGCTTAATAAACTCTTTATCTTTAATATTATTTCTAAAAAGATGTTTTTAATATTACTTTAAAAACTAAAATGATGTCTGAGTGGAGGAAGAGTATTATTTTTAAGAATAAAAAGAATAAAGGTGATGCACAAGAGTATGCAAAATATAAAGGAATTAAGTTGATGTGTCATACTTTAAAATTATGGGAGGGGGTAATTGAACATACGTTAAGACACATTACAAAGATTTATCATAATCAATTTGGATTTATGCCGGGCAGGTCTACTATGGAAGCTATACATTTATTGAGAGGTTGATGGAGAAGTTCAGAGATAATAAGGGGAATCTACATTTGATTTCTATTGATTTAGAAAAAGCTTACGATAAGGTTCCAAGAGATATCCTTTGGAGAGTTCTTGAGAAGAAATGTGTTGATATAACTTATACTCAAGTCATTAAAGATATGTATACTAGAGCTGTTACTTGTGTTCAAACTGAAAGAGGATTGACAAAAAAATTTCCAATTTATGTTGGATTACAACAGGGATCGGCTTTAAGCCCATATCTTTTTGCTTTAGTTATGAATGGTCTTATTAGACCTCTACAAGAGGATGTACCTTGGTGTATGCTTTTTGCTAATGATATCCTTCTCATGGATAAAACGAGAGAAAAAGCCCAAGAAAAACTTGAATTATGGAGATCTACATTGGAGTCTAAAGGTCTTCATTTAAGTAGAACTAAAACTGAATACATGGAATGTAATTTTAGTGGTATTAGCTCTAGTGACAAAAGTGTGACTTTGGGCGATCAAATTATTAAAAGGTATGAACGATTTAGATACCTCGGGTCTGTTGTTCAAAGCAATGGTGTGAACGATTTTCTGTTGTTCAAAGGTGTGAACGATTTTCTGAACATTCTCACAGATGAGTTCAAACCAGTTACATAAGTCTTGTATTTCACCTTCTATAGCATGATAGAATGAGGAGTTACTACAGGTTTCTATATCTTTTGATTTGTCACCAATAAAATATTAAAAAAATGCATCAAAATAGTCCCCTGCCTTTTTGCAGGGAGTTATTTTAGACAGAGCCTTCAAAGGTGTCGAATTAGTTCCAGACTCTTTTAATCCGGGTTAAAAAATAGAAAATTTCAGCCTATATTAAAAGATTATGGGAATTAATTTAGCACTTTTATAGACTATGGGGCTAAAACATCATCATATAAATAGCCAGTAGACTATTTTGACAATATACTCAAAATATTAATATAGAACATCTTTACGAAGGCATTCAAATAAGGGATTAATTGATTGTTTTAAATAAAAAAATTGTTTTCGGAAGTATTGATTTAATTATTATACATTCTTGGAAAACAGAATTATTACAATCAGGAGTCCTACAGAGTTCGAAATGAGCAATCAAATATCCAGTAAAAATAAATAAAGAGTGAGAATCCAAAAGGCAGATCTTAAATAACCAGGATAGATGTGATCTCTCTAAAAGGGAACAAATTATCTTTAAATGAGCTCTGATGACATGGAGATAAGAAGTGAATTATTTACCATATCACTTGAAAAGATCCAAGACTTTTTTTTTTAAAATCTTTCAGTACAAAGACATTAAAAGGGCAAACAAAGCCCAGACAGCAGATATCACAAATATGAAGTATTCTAGGGGCTTATTTGGTTGCTTGCTCAAAGGAAACATGTTTTAGAAAATTTGTTTAGGGAGTTTTGACAAGATTTGAGGTGTTTGAAATCAATGTTCGTGTTTATTTGCATCCAATCAAAAATGATGATTTAACAAATTTCATTGTTTTCAAAATAAGTTTTCAAACTTCAATCAATCCAAATATCCAATGAGCCCACAAGTAGAAAGATAATGGATTTCAAGTATCCATAAAATTCATAATACATGGTGAAACTAAGGCGTTTCTTCCAAAAAAGGAAAAAAAAGGGATTATTCATTCGTTTGAGAACATGTTTGACACTATAATCAATACTTGTAACCATGGCACGAAGCACAGGAAGTAAAGTTGAGTGTCCGTTATCACATGATTGATGAAAATAGGAAAAAGATGAGAAAAGTGCCAAAACGATTCCAGAATCTTTATCATGAGTCATTTTAGTACCGGAATCCATAAAAATGTCAATTAATCCCTAAACTCTTTTATTAAGGCTAAAATAATCCTTTTCGGGGACTATTTCATCCAGCCTGAGATCTAATTTGTCAATTTTATAGAGTAAAAGCCCAAAATAGTTCACTGACTATTAAAAAGTGTCCAATTTAGTTCTAGAGTTTTAGAATGATCTAATTTAGTCATTGTCTATTAAAAGTTGCTCCAAATTAGTCCTAAAATATATTTTCCACTAAATTTAACCGCTGTCTGTTTGAATTGAAGGGTATTTTTGTTTTTGATGTAATTATTTAAAATTTATATAGCTTTGTATAAAAATCCTTTTTTATTTGTTGTTGAAATATTATAATTTTTAATTTGCGTAATAAATTTATTCACAAAAAGCATCACTTTTTTTCAAATGAATTTTTTTTTGGATCATGGTTTGAATACACAACAGTATGTTTATATATATATATTCTGAAAAAATATTAGTGTAAAAGTATTAATGGTTTGCCATTAATTACACACTTTTATTATTCACATAGATAATGTTTTAAATGTAAAATAAATTTATTCATTAGTTTTTCAAATTAATTTTAACTATTTTAAAACACATTCTTTAATAAATAATATTAAAAAAAAGTCAAATGAAATAAAGTAATTCATATAACTTTAGATCGAGTGAACTGTTACTGCATAATTATTGATTATTTTAAAAAAAATTCATATGAAAAGAAGTCATGACTGCTGTAAAAAAAAATTATTAATGAAAATTAAAAATTATAATTTTTCAATAATAAAAAAAAAGAGATATATATACAAATCATATAAATTTTGAATAATTACATAAAAGACGAATATACCCTTCAATTCATGCAGACCACCATTAAATTTAACGGAAAATATAATTTAGGATTAATTTGAAACAACTCTAATAGTCTAAAGACTAAATTGGAGCATTCTAAAACTTTGGGACTAAATTGAACACTTCTTTATAGTCGGGAGATTATTTTGGGCTTTTACTCATTCTATAGGACTATAGGACTAAAAAGAATAACCAGGAGATATTTGAAAAAAATAAAAATAAAAAATCAGGGGACTATTTTGAAACTTTACTCAAAAAAAAAAAAAGCATAAACTAGAAGAAGATCACCTGCGTAAAATTAATCCGAGAATGGAAGCATGATAAATCTTTTTCAGACAAATTGCCAGTAGACCCAATGCTAGAGAAACACGAGCGAAAGTCTAATGCACATTGCAAGATATTCTTGATAACTGTAGCTGCTGCTTTTGCATCATCAGATAGAAAGCATCTAAGAAGAAAAAATAAGCAGAAATTAGAACGAAAAACCTAAGAATATTGCAAAAGGTGACATAACTAACGTGCATGTTCATCTACGTAAAAATGTACAAGGACTCAGAAAAAATATTCTTAAAATTTCATGAAGTAGGAGTAAGAATATTTTTAGGGGCATTTATAAACCTACCACCCAATTCCTAGCATTTACATATCTAACACCTAAACTTTACTTTTTTACATTTATACCATACAAATCTTTCATCTCACATAAAAAGCATTAACTCTTTTAAGTGAAATACACTCATGCATAGATAAGGTGATAGGTAATAAAAAAAATTGAAGTTTAGGTGCTAGATATGTAAATTCATAGAAATTGAGGGGCGGTATGTATGCAAATCTACCTTTTTTTTTTATGTACGGTGGAGGACAAGATACAATTAGAACAAAAGAATGCAAAAAATAGTTATTGATAACATCCATAATAGATTTCCATTTTACTTCAACCTGCTCGACATGATCTTGTATGAGCACCATGAAGATGTATCAATCTATTCAAACCAACCTGAAGAACAATTTCAGGAATAAAGGGTGAATTGCACCACATGCACACCTGCTTATAATGCAGCATAACATTGATATTTTCAATTTGAAAGTTTTAAATTTAAATCTCATCATCATTTCAACATTTCCCAAATCCCCATCCGAATCTTTGATCTTCATGTTAACATTATTAAATTGCAGCATCTCAATGTAATTTTCCGGGGTCCAAACAGGAGCTGAAATGGATAATAACATGTTTTAGTATAAATATCCAAAGAAAAGAATATCACTTGACCTCTCCCAGCCAATAGGTACTTATGAACAAGGCGGCATGTGTGGTTATAGTAGAGAGAGAGAGAGAGAGAGAGAGAGAGAGAGTTTGTGCGACAAACTTCTAATTTTTAAGATTTTTTTATGCTTAGTTGGCATCATCTAGACATCTCTTGGCACATCATAAACCTACGAAGCACACATACCTCACATATTAAGAGATTCATTATGCAAACTTGGAATTTTCATATTTGATTTAAAAAATTACACACACGATATTTTAGAAGCATATTAAAAATGCAGTACAGATTTTAAAGAGATCAGTGAAATTGATAGCCAAAAAAACTTTATTTTTGTCAATCTAGAGTAGAAATTAAGGTTGGATCTTATACCTCATCTCAATCCTTATCTATTGTGTTGGATTTAGATTCGGAAGGAGACAAGAAAGGATTTGACCATTAGTGCCAATTGTTTGCCATGACCAAGAAATATATCAATGAGATGATATGCGAGGGAGTTTCACTTGGCATTGTTAAAGTCATCCTCTATAGCTCATATACATCAATGATCTTATCAAAGTCAACCTACAAAGAAAAGATCATCCTAGCCAAAAAAAGTGAAATTTACATACATACCACAAAATTCTTATGTACTTAGATATCTAACACTTAAAGTTTGATATTTCACTTATAACACCTTGGTGGCTAAACCTATACATGAAAATGTATAGTTCACTTTTAAAAACATATTGATGGTGGTATTTTTTATGTGATGTTATGGATTTAAATGGTATGCATGTAAATAAAAATGTTTAGGTGTTAGAAATGTCAAAACATAAGAATTGTGCGGTATGTTAACCCAAAAATAAAGGAATTTAAGCGTTATGACGGATGAAGCGAAAGCAGGGCAAGCAGGTAAAGTTATTAATGTAGGAAACAAGTTTCGAATTAAACCAGTCCGCCCTCTCGAAGAACAGGAGAGAAGTCATACCGTCTTTACTTTGGACAAAGAAAATAACAAAAATGTAGAAGCTAACAAAGGAGCAAGATATACAAACCATCTCCAACATACTTGTACACCAAAATAATGTCAAACAGAAATCTCGAGGAGATACTATGGATTGAAAAAAAAGCATGTTCAAAGATGACCCACAAAAGACCAAATGTTACATCAGCGTGAGCCCATGTTATCCAGTGCCTAACTACAACCCCTAAAACCTTGTACAAAGCTTGCGAACAAGAGCCCCTTAGATCAAAGATCAGGACTTGCCAAAACAAAGAAAAGGATATGCCAGACTCCTCAAAATAACATCAAGAGTCACCTTAGACAAACCCTTAAGACTCAACAAGATTATTTAGGTGCCCAAGACAATACCCACATAAATCCCCCAATGGCTCTCTTGTTAAATAAATGAGCTACCCATTGGATTACGGTAATATGTCATCTGCCCAATAGCCTAATATCATCTTGGCAACAAGAATCCAACTTAAGGGGTCAAAAGTTATCGCTCAGACCAAAGGAGCTGGCCAAACAAAGTTCGGCGACCCAAGGACCCCCATGGGTCGACCAGTCATCCTTGGCCAAGTCGACCGACCGACCTTGGGTAAATTGGCCAACCGTCCTTAGCCAAGTCAACTGATTGACCTTAACTAAATCGACAGAATGTGTTTAGCCAAGCCGACCGAATGTCCCCAGCCAAGCCGACCGACAGTCCTCCATGGGGTCGACCACTAACCAACATATGAGAACCAATTGTATGCCCTAACTCAGCTTAATCGACTAGATGAACCTGTCTTACCCAAGGGCCTCCGATCCTAGGCGGCCGAATGATGGTGCGACCAAGCCAGAGTTTTTAATTAATTAATTATATATTTATAATGTATTTATTTATGATCAAAATATCATGTGACTCCCTTATTCAAACAGGGGCAATCAAGTAAGTAAAGGGCTAATGAATCATTCAGACTAATCTAATCTCATTTCCACTCTTATTGTTTTCCCTCTCTCTCTCTCCTCTCCTATGCTCTATTACTTGGGTGAGCATCACATGACAATTTTGGATTCAAAAACGCTGCTACTAAAGCTATGAATGTACTTAAACTCGAATATTGAAAAATGTAGGAAGATGGAAAATCAGCCTTACTCACAGTATGATATGGATTCACGGGGAAGAAAACCACCTAAAAGTGGAACCTATGATCACAGAATCAAATCTAAGTGATCAATCATATCATCTACATAATTTGATCATCAGATCGAGCAAAAATAAAGAAGATGAGTCATTCAAATTTTTATGATTCAATATCTATACATGAAAATTGCTAATAGTGGTGACTCTCATATTATACCATTGAGATAAAAAGGGTTATTGCAAAGAGTTCATGCATATGATAAGTTCGTCAATCGAACATCATACGAAGATCCAAGACCTAGAAGTTATATCCATATAATAAATTTATATTACAAACAATAATGATGAATTTGAATTATTAAACTCGGATAAATTTATTTCTTAATTTATAATACAGGATTAAGATAATTCATATTTAAATTATCATTTAATTTGAATTTCTTTGATTTTTTATTGAAAGTACTTCCTCTTTTTGTAAAGTTTGTTTACGTATGGATTCTGCTTGTGATGATTTGTCTATTCAAAGGCTCAAATCCTGCAGTAAATTATAACCTTGCTCCAAAAGTTCATCCTTTTTCTACACTTGTTCACTTCCACCACCCTGCTTATGCTACTACAGTAGGAAGTAAAAGGAAAGGAATTCCAAGTACAATTAAAAATTCTAGCGATAATACCCAAACTTGCAGCACAATCACTAGTTTGAAGACTCACCATTATTGTCTGCCGCCCTCTATTATTGCTATTTCCAAAGATGGCCGTTGATATTATTTATTGCTTCCATTACTGTCAATCACATTTTCTTACATCCTGTTGGTGGCCATGATTGGTTGTGATGCGGAACGTGTCCCGCTCACGCGGGATTTCCCGCAATGGGAAGCAAAGCGCACTCCGGTGCCTACACCGAACAGGTCCATGTTTTTTTGTTGTGGGGGAGTCAACCGATCCACTTGGGCAACTCCTAGTTATTTGATTATTATATGTTTGCTCACTAATATTTTAGGGTTAGTTTTTGTGAGTTATGTTTAGAACAGCCTCCGGCGTCTGTTTCTCTCTTCGGGGCTAATACCTGCGGGTTTAGGAGATGCTCCAACTGTATCTCTCTCAAGGTGGTGATTATCTTCCCAATCCCATTCCAAATCCTCCCCACATCGCTCACAACCGCTTCTTACCTCCTACAGCCACCCAAAACAGCTGTATTGGCTGTTTCTTCCTGCGGTTTTCTATCGTCCAACCGCCGCCAGGCGCTTTTCGCTTGCTGCTGCCATCCAGGACAGCAAGGAGTTCCCGACATTTTCCAGCTTTCTCAGCCACTGTGCCTCCCTTGCCATCCTTCAGAATATGCGCCCTACTCTTTCCACTTGCAGCCATCATCCGGAACCTCCACTATCACATTCTAATTTGCTGCCAGCACCCCAAACCAAATGCCCCTTGCTGATTGCTGCTCCAGACCGGTCACACTCTTGTTGCCCTCGCTTGGACAGCCCTCCCGCATTCACTCTCGCTGATTGCTTGCAGCCTGGACCATTGGAAACCACTGCCTCTAGCTTTTCTGCCTGCAAACCACCTCGTCCATCACCCCACCCTCTTCCAAAGCATCACCAACCACCATCAAACCCATGGATCCAACTCTAGTTGAATTTGTTTTGTCATTTGTTGCAACTTCTGATTTCTAGTGTGTTTAGTGGTTAGTTCCTATTGGAATTTAACAATAAAATTTGTTTTTCCATTGTTGTTTGGTTAACTCTGATATCAGGTTATAACCAATATTTGTTGTTCTTCATTAATGCCATTTCCATGGACTGTTGTTGTTTTTTAATGCCATTGTTATTGATGTTCTTGCCGCCACAACTCCATTGTTCTGTCTCCTCTGCCAAATCAAAATTATTTTATTCAATAAACAGAGTTCCGGAAGAGAATAAAACCAAAAGGAAGGAAAAAGTGTTGTCCAATAGTAAGAGATGTCAAATAGTCAAAAAGTTTCATCTAAAACATGACAACATTTAAGGAAACTTTCATTGATAAAAAAGATTAACAGGAAATCTTTAAAGGAAAAAAAAAAACCTCAAATCTTTATGAATTTTTTTAAGCACTAATTATCAATTTATGCAATAATACGGAGATATTAGCTATACAACAACAACAACAACAAAGCCTTAATCCCACTACGTGGGGTCGGCTACATGAATCCTTTTTCTCCATTGCGTCCTATTTAGTGTCATATTTTCATTTAGTTCTAGTAAATTAAGATTATTTTTTATACAATAAGCCCAAGCCTTTCTAGGTCTACCTTTGCCTTTTTTAACACAAGTCGAATCTAAAACATCTACTCTCGATTATCAGATGGTCGACGTTTAATGTGACCAAACCATCGAAGATGACTTTCTCTAATTTTGTCCGACAAGAGCTACACTAACCCTATCACGGATATATTCATTTCACATTTTGTCTCTAAGTGTAAAGCCACTCATCCACCTAATCATTCTCATCTCGGCAAGACTTAACTTATTATTATTATTATTATGCTTCTCTTTTAAATTTAAAGGCCAACATTCAATGCCATAGAGTATTGCAGGTCTCACCATCGTCTATAAAATTTTCCTTTCAGTCTAAACGATAATTTTCTATCACACAGAAGGCCCGAAGTATTCCTCCACTTCAACCAACCAACTTGAATTCTACTATTAACATTCTCGTCTATATCACCATCGCTTTGAACAACAGACCCAAGATATCTAAATCATTCACACCTTTTAATAATTTGATCGCCCAAAGTCACACTTCTGTCACTAGAGCTACTACCACTAAAATTACATTCCATGTATTCAGTTTTAGTTCTACTTAAATGAAGGCCTTTAGACTCTAATGCAGACCTCCATAATTCAAGTTTTTCCTAGGCTTTTTCTCTCGTTTTATCCACTAGAAGGATATCAACAGCAAAATTAGCTATAGATGAATAAATTTTTTTAAGCACTAATTATGAAAAGATAACCCTCACACCTTGCCAATCCTTATGAGCTCACCATTGACTAAAGCTAGTGATACTAAGATGCGGCAGATAAAGTCATTGTAAGAAATCTGCAAGGTAAGACGGAGCAAAAAAGTGCAGTAGGTAGTACATCTCATCACAAAAAGTTGCAAGTCATATCAATGGCTACTATAACTTCTCCTTTGTGACGACATTATAGTAAAGCTTAGATTGTAAAAATTGAATTGAGGTTAACTACTTTTGCATGGTACAACAAAATTGGATCATTTTTCGATATGTTCAAAGACCATGATAGCTAGCCATACCTATTGAAAAATTTCATAAATAATCTTAAGTTTTTATCGAAGCCAAATGATGTTCCGCGGAGTAGGGGTTACAACGTATTAACATACAGTTTAGATTTAGATTTGAAAAATTCATGTGTTGGGTCCTCATTTTCCTGACCCCAAGTTAAGCCGGACTCGTACTTAACATTAAGAAAAAGAGGAAGAGAAATGAGCAAAGGAGAAAAAAAGCTAAAAGAAAATAGAAAAAATCTCTATCAAGCTAATTGAACAATGTATTTAAAACAGGAAAACACAAGATTACATAACCCTGAATCCCCATGATCCTCTATTTATAGATGAAGATCGAAGTTGGAACACTACAAAAAAAGTACAAAATAAAACTTATGAAATATCCAACTAGGATAATAAATAGCCCAAAGAAGAAGCCACCAAAAGAGAAACCTAAAACTCACATTAACCACCCACAATAAAACAAGTTGAGAATGTAGTCAAAAAGTTGTTCCTGCAAAAAGGCCAGATAATTGCACATGCCTAAAGGAGTCCAAACATTGAAATTCTTCTAGGCTTCGCATGAGAAAAATCAAAACCCATCCAAAATGCCACAATACATACACAAAATGCGGTTGAAAAAAACATTATTATAGCCTCCATAAATAATCACAGAAGTAATGAAAGATTCAAGCCAACAAGAAAACAAAAAAAGCAGCTACATAGCTAATAATATAATGAAAATTATAGATTCTATTATTTAATATATTTTATAAGTCTATTATGATTGTAAATGAAGTGAAATAATAAAAAATACATATTATTTTAAATATAGTGCCCAATAAGTGTTCCTAACTTATATTTTCAAAAATCGTTGCCCCATATTTGAATCATATCACATTTATGTCCCTATGTTTGTTGCCATTTATGACATCTAGCTTTGAACAATTTTGAAGAGCACAATCGTCAAAACAAGGGCATGCGGTTTTTTGTTACAATGTAATTTTGTTTCTATTTTGGCTTTGCTTTGTTCAAGTGCTATATAAAAATAGGAATGCTTGGTATGTTATACACCAAGAAAAACACAATCGTTTAATAATTAGAAAACAGAAAAGATTGATATTCAATGAAGGGTTACAATCTGGCAAGCAATATTATCAATAATAAATAACATATAGTCAACAAATGTGAGAAAAATAATAAATTAATAATATAAAAAAATGCATAAAACATTAGAAAAGTTAATAAAGTAACTCAAAGATACTCTGGGAAACAGATCGTGCAAAATTTTATTTTAGTGCTAAATTATTAAAAGCATTTATTATTAATTTAAGCATTCACATTATGATTGTAATCACTAATTTACATGGCAAAAACATGATGAAAAATATAAATATGATAAATGATAAAATATACAGATTACTCTCTGTGTAATAATTCTATTAAGTAAATAAGTCAATAAAAATAGTATCCTTTTACCTAAAGTAGTATTTTAAAAGTATTAATATTTAATATTAATGCACCGACAATATTTATTACTTAATATAATTCATTTTTTTATTAAACATGATTAAATGATATCTAAAGTTCGTAATTATTCAATTGGTCAATATACTTATTGCTAAAATACATGAGTTTATATCACAAATATTTATTAGAAAAAAACATTAGTACATTCTCTAATATTTGAAAGCAGTCAAAACTTTAATAGAATAATAGAATTAAGAAAAATATTTGTAATGATGTAAAAGCACCACTGAACCCTAAAAGTATTCCACTACAAAAACACAAGGAATCTTCATACTACATATTTTAATAAACTAATAAATTAGAGATCTATCTGCATACTAGATGACGAAAATTTTGCAATGGTAGCAGTCATAAAATTTCAAACACAAACGGTGTAAAACAAAGAATTAGCTTCTTGTGACTCACATGTGCGCTGCATCTACAAGATACAGCATATGCATCGATTCCAAGTCCAGTATGTCCTTCACCTGAGTAAAAAACAATGAAATTTATATATTCATTTGATGTTCACACGACAGGCTACAGCTAAATGGCATTACACTAAAAAAAACATTATGACAGATCATATAATAAAAAATGTAAGCCACTATTAAAAAAAACAAGGAAAAAAAGTGGCATATGAATTAAATTATCCATAATCTCAAAATAAACAATAATTTGAAAACACATAATACAGTTTAAAACTCGATGCACGTGACCTACTCAGTAACGAACAACTTTACACATGCTTGATGTGGACAGCACACATGCTTGATGTAGACAACATCTAGGTGTAAGAAATAATGGAATAGGCTCACTTCGAACACTGCTCAAGTCAATAACCATAAATATAAATCAGGAAAAAATGAGCAGAACAAGAGATTGGTATCAAAAACATAAAATACATATACAATGATAAAACAACCAATGAAACATATTGCTAAGTTTCTTTGATAATTCATGGACTATATAATAATACACTTATCCCAAACCAAGAAGAAATGACAATCCATAAAAAATACCAAAATAAAATATTTGGAATACAACTAATAATGATTATGATCCTTATCCCAAACCTGGGAATAAGAATTCATCGTAACTTAACCCCTAGTGGGCAACTAACTGATACATGAAAAATTAAATAAAGCACAAGTAAATTTGTTTTTCTGCTCTCAAAGAGCTGGGGCAAGGCAAGTGTTAGTAATAGAAATAATTTTTTTATTGTAAACTTTTTATTCATCTTTGCCCACAAAATGAAAAATGTGGCAAATATGTAAGCAACCTGTGGAGTAATGTCCCTTGAAGCCAGACATGGCACCCATATTGAGCACTATGCAAACACCTAAGCACATGAACATACAACGAAAGTGTTAAATATGAAATTTGGCGCCTTTTTATTCCAACATTTTAAAAATTTTATCCGACCCTTCCAACACTCAGGTCAACATTGTCAAAAAACTTCCGGACAATTTACTTGATTTTTGTAAAAACTTCTGCTAAAATTAGGGGCAAATATTTTTTTCTTCACCAACATAAAACAGCACAATCCGAATGCATAACAATAAACACCTACAATTCGAGAGGTAAGCGATCTCTAACAAACACTAACCCTGACCCTAAGAATCAACATAAAAATCACACATCACCCTAACTCTAAATTCAAGCCAACAATCATACACCTATCATATAACCCTAAAAATATTAGCCCTCCTTTTAGCTAATAATAATGTTGAAATTATGAATAATGCGGAATATTTTATTGATATGAACGAGGGTATAATTAACCCTTACATCAATTCTAGAATAAGAAGGACAATAAAAAAAATAACATAAAAGAAAATATATATCACCTAATATCTTCAATTACTCAATTAATATTAATTGTTTTGGAAAAAAAGGAAACAACATAAAACAGGAAAACCTAAAATAGGAAAGGAAATAAATCCAATACAAGAAAATAATTTATTTCACATCACTTCTCACATGAATAAATTATTTCCTAATATAACTTTTAACATTCCCCTCAAGTTGAAACATGATTGAAAACCATGTTCAACTTGGATTAGAAAACATCAAATAACAGGCAAGGAAAATTTTGTGATATAGCACTTGAAGTCTTCAACCCGTATTGCGGTTAATTTTTACTGTAGTTCCTGCAGTATCTGTAAGTATAAGAATCCTACAGATAATGCTGCATGAAAGTTTGCAAGGAACTAGACAACTGTGGTTGTCTTTGACTGCAGTTCCTGCAGTGTTTGTGAGTAAGTAGAAGACTCCTACAAGTAATGCTGCAATGGAGTTTGCAGGAGAGTAGACAACTGTGGTTGTTTTTTATTGTATTTCTTGTAGTGTTTGTGGTAGACAGAAGTCTCCTACAAGTAATGTTGCAGTAGGGTTTGCAGGGAAGTAGACAACCTGCAGGAAAAACTAACTTTCAGTTGACTACAGTTCTCGTTGGCAGTAGAAAAAATAAATAAAAGCTCCGAAGCAGAGTTCATTGCAGAAAAAGGGACTGCGGTGAGGAGATCCTGTCACAGGATAGAGTCCTTTGCATGGCAGATTGCTGACAGAAAACATTTCCGACAACAAAGAAAAAGGGTTGCAACCTACAGGGAGAGAATCGACTGCCGCTTGCTGGACAAAAGAATTCCAACGAAGAAGTCAACAAGGAGAGTTTTGGAGGAGGGCATGTAGGTCGGCTGCTGGGATTCCAATCAAGAATACCATTCAGTCTCACCTCTGTAATAGCTTTTTTCAAGTCCTTTTGCAAGCAAACTAACGATGAACTTTTCAATAACCACAATCCACGCATGTGAAAAGAGTAAAAAAGTAATGGAGGCGGCTACAGTCGCAACTTCCCGCAGAAGGAATAGCAGTTGAAACCTATAAAAGGAAAAATGGCAAAAACAACTCCTCCCCTCTGTCCACTTTTGTTGCAAAGATATGTCTGGGAAAATAACTTCTCCTCTTCAGTTGGAACTGCTATTGGAGAGAGAAAGTCTCGCTCTCCGAAAATTGGTGGCGGCTTTCCGATTGATGTTTCCACAAGAAAGAGGAGAAAATCACATCATTTCTGTTTTTTTTTCTCATTTTTTTTATTTTTAAAAGAATCATGAGCTTGTTTATCGTATAATTCTTTTTTCAGAATAAGTCTATTTCCCAAATAATAAGAATGATCTGAAGAAGAGAGAAACCAGAAAAACAGGGACATATAACGAAGAAGGTAAACAAAGAGAAAGAAAACATGAAAAACCTACGTGAGATAAACCTCGCAAGAATAGGTCAAGTATATCCGCCCAAACAAGATCGGGCGGAGTCACCTTGGACCAATATCCTCGAAATGTGAGTCTCTTGTGATCCCCACATAATTAACAGACTCATCGACATATGGAGCTGCGAAATAAACAAATTATCCCAACGAGAAATCCTGATAAGTCAAAGCATATCAGAGTCGAAAGAGCAAAGGACAAATCGTCGTATCCTAAATGACTGAGAACCCATCGATAATCAAGCCGTCAAGATAATACTAACGAAGGGGAAAGGAGAAACCGAGCTTAATAGGGGTAGCCAAAAGAAGGGAGGAGTAATCCCTAACAGGTATAGGTAGTCAGGTTGGGGCACCACAGACCCGTCATCCCAAGTCACTCGGAGTCTAAGTCTATCTGGTCATGAAGATAGTCGACCCAACACGTCCAGAGATCCCTGGCCAGCAATCCGTGAATTGCGTTGTTCGCAGGGACCTCAGTAATTCTAAGGTCAAAAGAAAGAAACCCCATCCTATGTCTATCAGGTAGAATTCCAAGAGAAGAAACTTATATCCACCGAAGTGGCGAGGGTGCCAGAAAGAAAGAGGAAGGGAGGTTCACCTGCAAAGCTAGAAATGCTCTTGACAAAAGCACTTATGCCCCGTATGGTTCGGGGAGCCTTCTAATGACCTAAGCGCTCTAGAAAACAATGTGGAAATCTATACCGGGCCAGTCAGGTTATAGAAACACGCGTGCTTCTCCTCAGGACATGCGTATGATGCAGTTATCTACCATAATCCTAAACATAGAGACCCTATTAATATGACATGTGATAAGTTCTTGCTATGCAACTCATTTCAAAAGCGACCCGAAAACCATGTAGGAAAGTAAATCATAGATTTTAAAATATTGAATGTTTTAATCCTAAATTTTAATTAACTTAAAATTTTATTAGGATTTTATAAAAAAATTTACAATTTTAGGTCCTTAGAAATCCTAAATGATTCACATAATTCTCAGACAATCCACAAAGTAAAAATGATGGAAAAACAATTCAAGCACACAGACACAAGAAGAACAGTAAAGCAATTCATATAAGAAAGAATAAAAGGACGGTGTCACTGAGACGGCAATATATCCCGGAAACATAAAAATGTGGCCAAACATCACATAAGTACACGCCTAGTCTAACTCTATACATAAATTAGATTTAAAATTAAGATACGGGACACGAACAAACAGCTCCTGGTCCCCATCACGTGATTTCTAATATAAGACTTTCTTAGGAATATAAAAAATACACAAGTAATAAAAGACTCGACCTGTATTAAACCTTTATTAGCAGGAAAACCATATGAGCCATGCCTAACGCGAGAAGCTAAGCAGCGCCTACAAGAAAGGGGTAGTATATAAATCATTACATTGCTCTCCCTTATTACACGTGCAACGTGTACTTTATGCATGACTCCACGCAAGAAGGTCAGCCTAATATACTACCATACATGTCAAAATAATAAGCATGTAAGCACACCATAAGCACAAAAGATGATGTCTGACTAGGACAACGAAACCAACAAAGAAATATAGTCAGGACATTGAAAAAGAATACATAACATCCCAGTCCTTAGCCTAACATACCATCTAACGTAATATCCTAAAACAACATCTAAGTGAGTGACAGATCCTGAGGGGAATCTTCAATGACTTCCCAAACTATCATACTATGTGACTACGTTTTAGAGAGAATGTTATTTGAATGTTTTAATCCTATCAATTTTATTTATTTAGGACTTACACTTATATAATAACTGATTATGTAAATAGTCCGCAGAGATAAGAGGTTTTACGTCGTTCTAGACGACAATCTCGGAACCTAAAGCGAGTTAGGACTTATACTGCTCAGTTTAACTGTGTAGGAGCCTAAAAGAGGGTGAGGATTTACGTCGCGTTGGGCGAGCTACCTAGAAGTCCTATGAGTTGTTTAAACTAGAAAAGTTTAGCTGGTGTAAACTTGTTTTGCTGTTGTAGAATGACGACCAACTCCACTTGTAGTCTGCTCCAAGCTCCTTACTGCGCTGCCAACGAAGCTGCTCCAAAGTCCTCGTCGAAGCGGGTTTAAGTTTTCTAACGTGTCAAGTCATGATGTCAAATTAAATGTTTTCTAAGGTTATGATCATTTAAATATTATAGGGGATATTAAAGTTGATTAGAGCAACACCGGTTAGGATCTCACGGTTCCCTCA